AAAAAAAACACAGTGGGATGATCAAAGAAATATAAACTTTGGTTATTTGATGACAATAAGGAATAGTTATTCATTTTTTTAGTAATGGTACTGTGATTTTCTCTTTAAAAGCCTCCTTATCTCTTAGAGAAACATAATGAAGTATTTACTGATAAAGTGATATGAAGGCTGGGATTTGCTTCAAAATAATCAAGATAGGGTAGGTAGCAGAGTTGGCAAAAGCAGATGATGGGCACTTCTCTATCCTGTTACTACTATTTTTGTTTATATTCAGATATTTCCCTAAGAAAAAATTAAAATAAAAGGAATTTTTTAAAATGCAGTGGGTTAAGTGCTTTGAAAGAGGAATCCCTAGGGCATGAGGAACCAGGATGGGCATCAACCCCAGTGGAGGGTAGCAAAGCAGGAAGTTAGCCAGGGAGACCTTTACTCAGTCTTGAAACTTGAGTAGGAATTGGGGAGCCGCTAAAAAAGGGACAGTGTCAGTTCCCTGTGCCTGTCACTGGCACATGGTTTACTGGCTCATGCTACAGCTTAAGTCTCAGCCCCAGGCCTGCTTCCTCCAGGGACTCCACCTGGTAAACGTACATTGCCTCCCCTCACCTGGGGCTGGGGAGCCAGCTATCTGTGACGCGCTCTTCATTCACTCAGTCAGTGAATTAGTCAGCACGCATGTGTGGACACCTTCATGTACAGCTGCCATGAGCGTACAGAGCCCGAGATGGAGCCACTGGAGTCAGGCCGCATCCTGCAACCCATAGGCCCCGGGAAGTCCAGAGGAGGGAGCCAGCCTCTGTGTATATGCTAAAATTTCCATTGGTTTATCTAGTTTTGTCAGGCTGTTCAACCATTAAAAACAACTAACAACCCAAATAATAAGCAGGCAGTTGTTCTGAACAGATAGTTCACTGAAGAGGATATCCAAAAGGCTAATATATGGAAAATGTTCATCGCTTTTTATAAAAGATTTATTTTTAGTTATTTATGCATACAAGAACCAGGGTGCACGCCAGAGGTGCAGGGGATGAGAGGACTGACCAGAGGCAGAGTGGGGAGCAGAACAGGCAGATGTATTGAAATCCATTGCTGAGGGGAGCAGGGGGCGGGTCAGAAGAGGTCTGCTGGGCCA